TGACGATAAGCTCATGAAGGTGGGTGAGGAATCCTTTATGGTCAGTTTGATGATATCGCAGGATATCAGGTATTATTGACATTGTACTCTGAACATTTGTCTTTGGAGGCTGACGGCAGTTTAATGAATGCAGAATGTGGTTGGGGGAGTAATTCAATAATATCAAAAAAACCCAAGTAGGAGTAACCTTAGAAGTGGTTTTACCTTAGAAATTGTGGTATACCAATTTATCAATTTATTAATTTAAGAAAATCAACATCGTCCAATCACTTGGTGAATAAAAGTGAACAAGGAAGTTTCTTCTTTATCAATTTAAAAAACAGATGTGTTCTTATATTTGTGTTGATTTTCTTTAAAATAAGTGCTTATTTATGTGAAAAGTTATCCAACAACAAAATTCTGCCATTCACCAAATCACCAAAATCTGTTTTTTATTCAGTGGAGCACAAAAAGAGCTATTTTGCACAATGACAGTGAATAGGAGTTGCTGAGCTCTAAAACAACTCTATAAAAGTATTACAAAATTAGTGCATATGACTAAATCCCAAGTCTGTTGAACCAATACAGAACATTTATGTATGAAAATGAAAAAAAAAATTCAATATTCATCGAATCACATAAAATACATGGCACCATGATAAAATGAATGAATAATGAATATATGACCTAGGGCTGTCAAGCGATTAATCACGATTAATCGCATTCAAAATAAAAGTTTGTGTTTACATAATATATGTGGGTGCACTGTATATAATTATGTTGTATATATTTATAAATACACACACACACATGCTTGTATATATTTGATTTATATATAATTTATATTATATATAGATATTTTAAATATACTTTTTTTTCTTAAATATACATGCATGTGTGTGTATTTATATATATATATATATATATATATATACAAAATAATTATACACAGTGCACCCACATATATTATGTAAACACAAACTTTTATTTTTGATGTGATTAATCGCTATTAATCATTTGACAGCCCTAATATGAACATTTACACCAAACAAATGATGACATGCCAATATGTTTAAGAGAAATCATAGGTTATCAAGGGCTAGACAACCTACTAGATTTTTATTTTTCACTTTCACTGTGTGAAAAACAAGTTCAGAGATTATGTTAGTGAACTCATTTTATATTCCACTGGAAAAAGAAAATCATCCACAACCAGATTTACTCCAACATGAATGAAGGCAAGTGAATTAAAAAGATTTTTGGATGAATAATCACATTCAGACCTCTACCCACTCAAGGAGACACCAAAGAACATCATAATCAACTCAAAATTTGTGTAAGTTCACAATACCGCCATGAAAACAGAGTCCTACATTTAAAAGAGAAGAACTAGAGTGATTAATCGTTTAATTGACTGAAGGAAACAGTGTGGCAAGTCCTCCTAGCATGACCTCTCCGTCTCCCAGAGTCCACCGGGGGCCGACTACAGCAACTCTACGCATTAACGTCATTCATCATCCCGCGCTGAATATTCATGGGCCGGGCCCGGGGGTCAAGCCAAGCGCCATCATTTCCTGCTGGGGGTTAATGTGCATCAGAGCAGGGGTGGGGCCGTAATCTGATTCCATCGCCATGGCAACTTCACCCTAATCAACCTCCGTTGGAGGTGAAGAACGGTCTAATGAAGATGTTGTGACTCCCTCGCACTGGCTTTGCATTAAAGTTGATTAGCATGCGCCACTAACGGTGAGACCTCGCCTCGGTGGAATGTTTCCAAAGGATGATAAAGATTATTATAACGGAGACGAAAGCCGCTTGACTGCATAATGGGCAATAATGGGCCCGGTCAGTGTGAAAAATGAGTTCGCAAGAATGGTTTTTCAGTCTAAATGGAGGGAAAACACTTTCAGGAAGAAAAAGAAAAATGCGTTTAGAACGCAATATCGTTCAGGAATCGATAGCAGCGAGCTAAAGAGAAAAAGGTCTCTCATTTCCTATTAAGCCTAAATTTAACGCCAGAACGTTTGCCAATAATCTGTTTTATTGGAGACAAAACAGCTCTGTTCCAAAACTAAGAGACAACAAACAAAAACACTAATGCAAGCATCACTTTCACTGTTGCTCAAACTCATATAACACTTTACAGATTTACGTCATCGCAAACCCTCTTTTGCCGTTAAAAAACTACTGTCAGGATTTACACAGTGAAAAATTAGCGCGTGGACAGGGTATTTTTGTGGCTGACCTTATTGCATGCATTTGTAGGAGTTTCCCTTCCAGACACAACATTTTGGGGAGGAGAGCATTTATGCAAGGTGATTTACTAAGGTTTGCACTAGTTAATTTACTGGTGTTTGCACCATTATTTAACACCCCAAAAAAGCATGTCTTAAACCAGACGCTAATTTACCATGCTCCTGGATAATGTTGTTCATTATGGAAATGATCCGACTGCGTCCAGATAAGTTTTGTAATTTGTAGATCAAGCGCAGAACATTCAACTTGCATCTGCGCTTTTTTCGTGCTAAATTGCCCTGTTTAGTAAATCTGGGCCTAAGTATTAAACCTCAGCACACAGTTCGGCCAGCACCATCCGTGCTACAGACATGAATGACATCTCAAAACAGAGTTGGTTTATTACTTACTGTAAGTGATTTACAAATTATTTTCACCTGGACAATAAAATGGGCGAACAAATCCCACTAGTTTACATGAAACATCTAGAGACTACAAAAGCAACCAACTACCAAGGACATCCTAACAAGGGCATAGCAAAATGCTTAAAATACACACACACACACAAAACACCTTAGAAATTGCAAAGTAACTCCCTGGCACCAGTAACAATGCAATTTCTAGGGCTGTTAAAACGATTAATCGCAATTAATCGCATCCAAAATAAAAGTTTGTGTTTAAATAATATATGTGGGTGTACTATCTGTGTAAAATTATTTTATATATATATAAATATAAATATATATACACACATGTTTGTATATATTTAAGAAATATTTTATGTATATATACTGTATATAGATTTATATACAATTTATATTATATATAAAATATAAATATGTTGTATATAAATATTTTTTTTCTTAAATAAACATGCATGTGTGTATATATATATATATATATATATTAGGTCTGTGCAAAAATTAATTGCGATTAATCGCATCCAAAATAAAAGTCTGTGTTTACATAATATATTTGTGTGTGCTGTATATAATTATTTTGTATATATAAATACACACACATGCATATATATTTAAGAAAATGTGTTATTCATATAAAAAATATTTATATTTATATAATATAGATTTATGTATATATATATATATATATATATATACAGACTTTAAGCGCAAATAATTCTTAAGTATATACATGCATGCATAGGTATTTATATATACAAAATAATTATATACAGCACACACACATATATGATGTAAACACAGACTTTTATTTTGCATGCGATTAATTTTTGCACAGCCCTAATATATACAGTATATATATATATATACACATACATATACGCAAAATAATTATACACAGTGCACCCACATATATTATGTAAACACAAACTTTTATTTTGGATGTGATTAATTGCGATTAGTCACGGTTTGACAGGTTTGGATGTGATTAATCGCGGTTTGACAGCCCTAGTAATTTTAATAAATTATGAATGACTTAATCAATAGTTGACACCCTATAATATGCACGTATTATACACATATTATACGCCCTATAATATGCACGTGTGCTAAATTTCCATGCGTCCTCGTGTTAACATCTGCAGATTTGTAAGTTATACTTAATACAACAAAACCACAGGGTTTATATGAATAAAACAAAAGAATTAGAAAGCCGAGTGAATATCATATCATTTCCCAATGTCCCCAATAACATTCTGCCACTAACTTCTCCCCCAGAACAATTACATTCCTAATAAACTGATCCAAATTCAAAAGAAAGAAAACGACTTAATCATTATAAGCTGCTCTGAATATCATATGAATATTTTAGTAGTAATTATTCAGCTCCAGCTGACTAAGGTTTTATAATTTGTTCCATTTATGCGACTTATTATTAGGCTTATCATTTGAATTTATTGCAATTTATGAGATTATGCTATGCAAAATGGACATTTATCTCACAAATGGTGTGAATATTAACATTATTATTATGCTGGGCAGATGTAGTTATTCAACAAGCTGAAAATATTCAGTCAGGGCTCTGCGTTTATATTGTTTCACAGTTTGTTATACAAAAAGACAGACAGAAAATAAGTAAATGTTCCCAAACTTGTTCTAAACTAAAATAGTGATGATGTCATTGGCACGTACACCAATCCGCTGAAGGCAGGGAGGACAGGCTAAACAAGTCTCAGCTAAACATCAGTTTAGCACACTTAAATAACTTGCTGTGCTTGTTCGTGCTGCTAGACTGCAAAGATAGTTTTAGTAACTGTAGCTTAGAGATCTATAAAGTCGATTACACTCTTATTTGTCACCTTGACAAGTCGTGTGAAAGAAGGTACAGCCTCCATGTTGCTGTGACTGGCTGATTACCCTGTCAATGCGATAATGCCCACCAATAATGCTAATAGCTGGTCCAAAAACCTGAATGAATGTGTCAAACTGGTAAAAATAGACCAATTACAGACTAAACAGCCCACTCAGACTGCCTCACTTTTGGCCACATCCTACGTCTGTGACATCGACTAATGCTCAGAAAATGTTGTTGTTCTTAAAAATATCCAAACAGCTGCTAGAGATAATAAGATTGAACTTGGAAGCTGTCTAAACATCATTAAAATTGAAATCAGTAAACTAAAAACTCATTCAGGAACCACTGCTACAGACAAGCTAAGTGATTTGACACTTCCAGACAAACTTAACTACATTTGAACGTGTTTACCGCATATTTTCTGTGACAAACATGTTAGATAATGTTCATAGTAAGTAAAATCTCTCAGTCCAGCTCTAGTGCTCATGTATAAGGTACCACGGTAGACGTACCTTGTCTTTGTCCTCCACCAGATCTGTTAGCATGTCATCTGGGTCCAGGATCCCCCCGTCCTCGTACTCCACATGGTGCGTCCGTACCAGGAATTCCCCATCCTGTTGAAAACAATAGGTCCATCAGTGAAGTTCTCCGCTCAACAACAATACCAGAGACTAATCAGATGAATTTGGACGTTTTTAGACATGCAACATGCTGTTTTGTTCTTACAAATATAAAAAATGATTTATGTAATCAAAGGATATACAAACATATTAGCAGATAGAAATGTCATGTTATGTTTATAATTATTAAATGATTAGGATAGAAATCTGATTGGTTAAGCCACAGAATAATTGACCTATGGCTGCACAGCTAACCCAATACACTCAGACACTCTCTGCTCCCACATCCATTGAAATGCATTGCAGTTAGTCAGTTTTCATTCGTTTTTTTCTTGTCTTTTTAAGTTTAAAATGGTCAAACAGTGTGCATGGGGTGCGTGCAACTCCGACACTAGGTTCCCGAGAGGCTGGGCGATGGCGTGTATTTTTTTACCCTTTCCCAAGCCACATCTCAACCGAGATAAGAGTCTGCTCTGGATTAAGTTATGCGATAGACCACAACACCAACTAAACGTGGATAAATAAAACAAGGATGTCTACATCTGAGCTAAGTTAAGTCAACAACGTATTTGAACGTTATCTTTAAAATCTCTAACGTAACTTTAGGATAACGTTAGCCTAACATTAGAAAACGTTAACGTTCTAGCTGCGCTATACATCATGTCACTTAGCTTCATTAAAGCTACACTGTGCGATTTTTACCCCCATCTAGTGGTGAAAATGTATATGATCATCCAGTGAATATTAGTTTCTGTTCCTCTCAATTCCGATTTCGTTTTAACTCCTACGGTGGCCAATGTAGTCCAAGATTAATATGGCTTCCAGTTCGACCTCGTCCTTGATTGTTAACTCAAACGTAAACACGAAAGGCGAAGCTTGAATTAACGGGTATGTCCCTCTTTGGCTAAGATGGAGGGGCAACATGGTGACCGACATTAGAACCCCTTACCCGTATGTGTTTTCAATGGCATATTATGAGAATACGAGAATACTCACGAGAATACTTTATTACTTGAACGAAGTAAATATACATTAATGAGCATATATATTTTTGAAAGAACAAAGTGTTTTTAGCTAAGAGTAAACTACAAGAGTTACACATTGTAGCTTTAACGTATCTGTAAATAACAAGATAACAAATGCTAACAATCTTGTGCTGAATGATTCATGTAAATACTGTAGCTAGGGTTGGGTATCGAGAATCGAGTATCGATTGGAACCGGGACTAACTTTTCGTTTTTCCCAGGATTCGTTCAAAAGTTAAAATTTCGATTCCTAGTTTCGATATTCACAGTCCGCCGAGCGGAAGAAGAAACCGCTGAACAACACCAACGAGAAGAAGCGTCTACTGGAAGTGTTAGCATAACCGCGCGAGTCGAACATGAGTAGCTTACGTCGGCGGTCCAAAGTGTGGCTTCACTTTTCTAAAAATAACGAAATCTCGGCAAAAATGCAAAATTTGTGACAAAAGGAGTATTTTTACAGAAGGAGTATTTCCTTCAGAAAGGATTATTTCCTTCAGAAAGACCGTTGGTTAGCAAGGTTAGCTAAACTTTTTTGACCCTGCCTCTTAAAAGAATCGGAATCGAGAATCGTTAGGAACCGGAATCGAAACAAGGAATCGGAATCAGAATCGTTCAAATTCAAACGATACCCAACCCTAACTGTAGCACCAAACGGTGATGGCAACGATATGCGGTTTATCATGTTTACACTGTGACCTGTACATTTTTGCCTGGGGCTGAAGCTTTTCATCGACCTTCTCAACAATAAAATTATTAATATAACCCTCCAATGAGGCCCTTTAGGTGACTTCGAGATGATATAAAGTATAATCTTTCACCAATTGCCTCCAATGAAATGTCTCTTACTGTGACAGCTGCCATAGCGCCTGTCCCCGAATGTTGACTGTTTGTCCGAGTGAGTGGAGGGGGTGTGGCTTAGTCATTGGTTATATTTACTAACCAATTAAAATTATTTGTTCAGCATTTTATCATGATGTTGTTACCACCACTTAAATCACTGCAATACACAGGCTGCGGTTGGGTAATGCTTAATATCTTACTGTATTTGAGAATATCTCCATTACATAAAAAGATAACAACACATGCAAAATACGCCCTCGTCTGACATGCTGGCTGAAAGAACTCACATTTGTTTAGCCAGAAAGCCCTTTAGTCATGATTAGGAAACAATAGCAGCTTTTATGTCCATCTGTGTTTCCATGTGGATGAATGTATGGAAACTAAGGAAGTGATGACAATAAAAGGTGTGTTTCCTGTTGCTGAAAGGTTTGATTTTACAGCACATTCACAGCACAGACTGATATATACGATCCACAGAGCACATAGATTCATAGCATTAAGGAATAAACTATGGCTATGCGATGTTATGAATATATTTACAGCTAAAATGCATTTTTCTTTTATTCAGCATGGCCTTGAGTACCTTACTGCTTTAAAGGGACACTCCACCCATTTGCATTAAGATTTACATTGTTAGAAATCCAGTCATGCTATTGAATGGTCGTGACGTGCAACACTCTCTCATTTTCCCCTGAGATGAGAGAAAATCATCGTCATTTTACGCCATTGTAGGAGGAAGTGTAAGAGGGGGGGGGGGATTTCTGTAAAGACTACAAGCACTGGTTCCCTCCCTTTCAAACCCGCCCATAGGGGGTTGGGCCTAATGCGCTAACAGACCAATCACAGATCAGTGCCAGTGCGTTTCATTTCACCGACAGAAACTTTTTAAAAATATGGACGAAGGTACTGAATATGCAGACGGGTGCATTATGGATAGGGTTGGGTACCGAAACGCGGTGCCAATAGGGAACCGTTCCGACGTAAACGGAATAACCGAAAAGCTCCAAGTATATGAAAATGCACTCAGATCTAAAAAGTTGCAGATGTAAACGTGCAAATTACCTAAGAAATAATCTGGAACCCATATACGAATCACGCTATCGCTTCAGCTGTTGGCTTACCGCGTGCTCGTAGCTCATTGTCTAGCGTCACGATCATTTCTGATAGTGACGTACGTGATATTAGCGTGCGATCTGATTTCATTGTGCGAAACGATTTCCAGGCGGTAGCGTAGAGTGGAGCTCAACTCTAGTCTACATTGATGGGTGGAGTAGTGGGAGTGGCCTGCGGAGCTGAGCATTGCAATGCACTATGGGAATTGTTGTCTACAATCCACAAGCACTAAAAAGTCATTTTCTGCCTTTGATTGGCCAAGAAGGACCCAAATTAGAAATTTATGATCCTATTCTACTACATATATGACCCACTTTCAATACTATACATATTCATGTCTCCACCGGTGGAATTACCCTTTAAGGTACACAAAACAAGAATTACTACTAACCACATTACCATTAACCACAGCGTGACAACTTAAACTATTTACAAAAAAATACACATACATGCACTACTGTTCAAAGGTTTGGGGTCAGTACAATTTTTCTTAAAGAATGAAATTAATACTTTTATTCAGCAAGGATGCAGTAAATTGATTAACATTCACAGTAATTAGAAGATTTCTATTTTAAATGAATGCTGTTCTTCCAAACGTTCTGTACGAAGAATCCTGAAAAAAAATGATCATGCTTGCACAAAAATATTAAAAAGCATGAGTGTTTTCAACATTGATAATACATGTTTCTTGTGCAGAAAATCAGCATATTAGAATGATTTCTAAAGGACCATGTGACACTGAAGACTGGAGTAATGATGCTGAAAATTCATTTTATTTTATAATATATAGAAACAAATTATTTTAAATTGTAATAATCCTTCACAAAGTCTCAAATGGCTGCAATGAATTTCCTTATTGACCTTGACAAGACGAATGAGAACTTGAAAATGTACGGTGGGAATGCATACAATCGTGTGTACACATGTAACCAGATAAGATAAGTCAGTTTTCATAGTTTGAATACCATCAGCTCATTACAAAACAAACTCGCCGAACAACTTTTCAACTTGGGTTGGGGAAGAAAAAAAAATGCTACAATGGTTTAAAAGAACGTGTTTGGCTAGAAACGCATGATGACAAAACAGATCCAGGTCAACGCCTTTTTTTCAGCAGAAACTTCAATCAAACTGTTGACACGCATGACGGAAAATGCTAAAATCTCCATGTCACCCAGTCATTCTGAATGTTAAACAGCAGACAACTAAACTGTTTTTGGTGAAAACTGCATTAAATGTTCTATCATTGTGAACTTCAACATGTGCAATATAGAATAGAATCCTAAAAGAAGTTTGCTCAAAACTGTGAATGATCTGTGATAGATTGATGCACCCAAGACTAATATATTTTTGCACCAAGAGTAATTAAACTAATGTTTCTTGGCTGACCACTTGTGATCGCATCACCCTTGCTAGCTTGATATTCCTGGGAAATTGTACATGCATATAATTTGCAGGTGTCAGCCAGCCGCAATCAATCCGTGTGAGATTCGTGGAGAGGGGGGATGTCTGAGTTTCTTTTTACACACAAGCACATATTCTGAAGTTCAATAGAAACTAAATGCTCAATCTATTCACAAGCATCCAAACCTCCATATTTGCTCAAAATACAGTTTCAACCCTCCGAAAACATGTTAAAACGGAAGCTGATACCATCAGATACTGAAAGAGGCAGTTCCCCCTATCCAGAATGAAACAGTGACTCTCAATTCAACCCAGATTAACACACACTGATATTTTTTGTGAAGGCGCTTTCTCTGCTTCAGACTCAACAGGAAGCAGCCGTTTGCGTCCACCCTGCTGGTGTGGAAAAGTGTTCATGCTGTTTAGGCAGATATGTCTGCTGGGACTGTTTTCAGCTTCATGAAACCATCTGAGAAACATTTGCTTTGGATGAACAACACACCTGGTGCATTTTACACACACAAACTCCCGTAACACTTTAGACATTTAAAGCTTCCCACACCAAAACAACCTGTAATATTAGTACAGATTCATTATCATTAACATACATCTTGG